TTGTTTACACTCTTTGTAAAGATAAACATGTTGATTATGTATTTATTATGTAAAACCTAAGACAGTGACTATACATCAGAATCACATGTAAAGATTCTGAAAAACATTGATTCCCAGACATTCTGAATGAATGAGACTTAGAGCCTATGCATACATAATTGCAAAAAGCTCACTTTCATACACAGAAAATATAGAGAACTACTACTGGTATATTAGAAAATTCTAATATAGAAGTTAGCATTTTGTGCTACCTTAAATTGTATATAATTTTGAATTAAATTTTTAAAAACTGAAGAGTAGCTGTTTTAAAGTTTTAACAGCTCTGTACATGGATTATTACTATCCATTACTTTTTGGATGGGTTTAATCATAGCCACTAAAGATTGAAAGCTGAAAAAAAATAAAATAAAACTTTTCACAGTGTTGCTGTTTATCATCAGTTTTCTAAAGCAGAAATCTTAAAATTTTAGATCTTTGTCTGAAATTATGTTTGGAGAGTTTTTAAAGTTTTTAAGCATAAATGATTGACTTTATTATAGTACTGGATAATTATAGAAGTACTTATTAAAATATCTAAGGTTTGCATTTTTATTTTAAGAAAAAATTAGACTGTATATCAAATCAGTAAAGATTGTGTTTTATTTCTCTCAGAATCTTATCATTTATCGTTAAATGAAAGTAATATTGTAAACACTTTTAGGATTTGATATGAGACTGCAAAAGAAACCAAAGTTTATCTTAAAATAGACTCAGTTAATGTTAAATCTCAAAAGAATGTAATGGTTAATTAAAGCATTTTAATTTGTTTAAATTAAATGTTAATGCTATAATTTAAGTATAGTACTAGAGCCTGTCTTTTGTGTTATACTTGGTTATACTTCACTTAACAGAGCAAAGCTTGTTTTTTATAAATAATGAAAAATTACGTTAAAGAAAATGCCAGGAATTTTAAATTGTTTGACAAGAAAGTGTACCTGAAAATGTAATAATGTGCTTTTTAAAATATTCCTTTGGGACAAAAATAAAATACATGAGTAGCTGTAACATCAAGATTGTTAATATTTAACAGTTATTTTTTTATCAAGTTTGTTTTTCTAAAATGAAGGCTATTTTTCATCTCGATATAATTATGTACACAAGCAGACATATATCTAAAACATTTACATATAAAATAGTATAAACATGTAGTTTTTAAAGTTCCTTCATAAAATAAAATTAGGATTATTTCTTTTGGTTCCTTTAAAGAGTCAAAGTTTGAGTATTTGAAAGGGCTCCCAAGACTCCAAAGAGCATGTTCACATAAGGCTTTTATTTAAAGGCAGAAGATATTTTGCAGCAAGGAAAAGAGCACAGGCGAGCATAGGGGGCCCAGCGACACCAGACACAGTGCCCCAGGGTCTTTGTTCATACAAAGACATGCTTTGTCTCCAGATTGCACTACCAAGATGTGTGCAATGAATCTCGGCTTCAGGAAAGCTCAAGGCAGAAGGTCCCAAGGGGGATCTTTTTTCTGCTCCTCTGGTCACGTAGCCCAGCCCGGCCGTCTAGCCAGATATAGCAGGTGAAAACCATCAGTAAGCAAGCCCTGACGGGGGGTGCCAGAGGGGAGTCGGACTTTCAGCAGCACATCATCAATCCCACTTTTCGTTTCTTGGCCGAGAGTCAGGCCAGACATTCAGGCATCCCCCAAGCTTTCTCAATCCAGCCGTAAAGTGTTATACCACACAGCTCCTGACAACTTAAAATCCAGGAAAGGGCAAGATTATGATGATAGCTTACATTTGTAAAAACTACAGAAACATTTATTAAGTACTTTAGTATGCATTAACTTATATGAACTTTATGACAAATCTGTGAACTGTGGAGGAAAATTGTCTTTATCTCTGTTTTACAGCTATAATTCTGAGACTCAGAGGGGTTAAGTGATTGACCCAAGTCACATGCTTTTATTGGCGGTAGAGCTGGATCCAGAAGATGGACCTTACAGCTTTTATTGTAGAATATTTTTTACTATTTCATACTAGAAGTAGTATAAACAACTGTATACTTCTTTTCTAACTATCTATGGAACCATGTAGAAATGAATAAGTATATATACAACTACTACTTATTTTCCTCTCTAGAACATAGATTTTTTAAATGTGTTTTTGGAACTATAATAATTTAAATGCTTTCAAATACTTTTTCTTTTAATAATTTATAATAGCAGGTCTTAGGACCAGTGCCTGAATTTTTTTCTTTAATTATGTGGGAGAGGGATTGTGTTTTCAAACAAAGGGATTCTCTTTCAAATGAGAATATATGTATTTGGAAGAGTTGTTCACAATTCTAGGATTTCCAGTCACAAATATCAAATTGGAAAGACGAGATCTAAGTAAAATATCAAGATCTACCTGTGATTCTCTGTCTCCTTTCCTTCTGCATTCTCTTTTGTTCATTTATGATATATTTACTTGTACTATATAGTATGCACTGCGCTATCTTCTGAGCATTTAATAATTAACAAGATGTGATCCTTGACTTTAATGATCTTACATTCTATATTTTTTATGAATTCCCACTTCCACGAGGGAGTCTCTGTTAGTAATATACAAAATATTCTGTATTATGAGGGCTGGATTATAGAGTCTTTTTTTGCCTAGGATGAGTCAGGGAAGCCTTGAGATGAGGAGACTTTTGAACTAAGTCTTGAATATTGAGGAAATTATCAAAAAAAAAAAAAGGAGAAGAAGCCTATTTTTTTTAAACATATGGAAAAAGTGGACAAGGCTGTATTTAGGAAGCAGTGACTTCGTAGTCTGTTACACCTGGAACATACATTTCAAATGGAGGCAATTGGCAAGACATGAGGCTCACTGAGGCCAGACGAAGTCCAGTCTTATATACCATGCAGAGGGGTGTTGATCGTGTGTCCAAAGAAGTGGGGAGTCCAGAGATCGTTATTAAATGAGTAATTTTTTCACTAGATAATTTTTTTTTTTTTTTTTGCAGATAAGATGCATTGTAGAAGATGAATTAAAGAAGAGACAGGCAGTGAAGGGATTAGTTCAGAGTCCATTAGAATAGTCCTGGGAAGTAATGATGGGGCCAAAGACAGGGCCATGAACATGGAAATGGAGTACACCATTGAGAGACAATTTAGAAGTAGACTCGCTAGGTATATTAGATAGAAGTGAGGAAGCCATCTATTATAGAGGTTTGGCCGTGGCGGGTTATCTGATCTGCCTTTCTGTCGTTGGGCATCAGATTGCCGTGACACTCTTACGGTCAAGTGATTTGCATTAGGCCAAATTATTAGTTGGTGACAGAATCGGGTTCTGGACTCTAGGGTTCTCCACATGCACCTTATTCCCACTGTGTCTCTAACAAATAATTTTTTCCTTAATCATGCTACAATCTTACAATTGTTTATAGTTTGCGGTGTACTTTAATGTACATAATCTCTTCCATCTTGTTTAGCAACCCCATGAGACCAATAGAACAAGCTTTATTATCCCCTTTCTGAAGGCAAAGAAACCAGATCAGTGTGGGCGCTATGCCTATTCAGAATTGTCTCGGTTTTATCATTACTACTTAAATATCTTACTCCTTATTTATTGATTCACATAGTAGATGCACTCTTGGAATTATCTCTAAGCTTAAAGTAGATTTTAAATGTACTGGTATAAGGTGGTTTTTGTTGTTTGTTTTTGTTTTGTCATTTGGTGAATCATTTGAAAGTAGAAAACAATCCACTTTATGTTTGATAAATTCAGATTTTTATAAATTATATTTATTTAAATCAAAGCATTTTCTTATAAAATATTATAATAATATAATCTTATAAAAGATTGGAACCATTTTTTGGTAGACAATATATCATAGAGGACTCTGTTTAAATACCAATTTCATTACTTGTTTGTGAATCTCAGGGCAAGTTGATAAACTTGTCATCCTCACTCTCTGGATTTTAGTTTGATATAATAATAGTACTTAATTCACAGTTATAGCATTAAGTAAGATGATGTCTGCCAAGCATTTACAACAGTTTCTAGCACCTAATAACTAACTACCTGATACATTTTAGCTATTATTAGATTTTTATTTACTATTTTATGCTAATCAGTAATGTAATTTAAAGACTGCTAAAAAGTCAAAAGTAAATGGATTGACATTTATTGGGATTTTTGCATCAAATAATTTCTTTAAGTTCAACAGCACTATAATTTATATTACATATAAAATGTAATTAAGAAATAAACATGGGCAGTCCCTACACTAACGTAGCTTTCTTCCTAAAAATGTATGTTTTTTTACGTAATTCAAGAGTACTTAATCGCTTTGATGTTAAAAATCTCTTTTTTTCTATTTCATAAAGTCTTAATATTCTAAAGCCTTTTTTATGGGGATCCAAGAAGATATTGAAACTTATTTGTTACTATTAGAACACTCAAAAACTTGAATTTTTTTGTACTTTGCAATTACAATCTCTGAAGGAAGTAAATATTATACTATTTTGGGACATATCTCAATTCACTACGTTAAGTGGGTACATAATACATACTTCTGGTGTTTAAAGATGGGTTGAGGTGTTGAAGCTTAGGTTTGTTTCCATAGAAAGGCCAATCAGAAATACTCCTCTAACCTTAAAACGTAGGGAAATTATAGACATAAGTGTGTTCTACTTACTGCGCTGGTAGTCAGTGTGATGCTCTGACATAATTTATCAAGATGATAAAGTTCTTTCTCATGAAATATGTTGAATTTTGTGTTTAAAATGTAGTTTATATAAATAAAGTATTAATGACTCTCATTTTACATCCCCCAATTAAGCTGTATTTTTTCCTCTTCACTTTCATCCACGTGCATTTTATTAATAATAAAGGAATCTTATGGTGTTTACCCCTCAGATCCATTTTTTGGTGCACATAAGTACTGATTTTACCAAATATAAATTTCTGATTTTTAAAATTCTTTCTGGTGTGTGAAAACTGAGTTTATTAATTTATTTTCTTTTTCAGGCAAGCCAAGTTAGACATGAGAGTTGCAGTAGCAAAAGTGGAAGAGTTAACTAAAGTGACTGAAGATCTTCAAGGACAGATGCAAAAGAAGGTGTTTCTTATTTCTAAGATAACTAATTACCTGTAGCTGTTTCAATGTATTTTATTGTTGATCTGTTTGGATTACATATAAAGAAGGTTGATGGAAAATGAATTAATCATTTACTTGCCCTCTAAATGTAAAATATGAAATTAGGAAGCTAAATTATAATATTGGAAATAACTATATTATACAGTTTTCAACCAAAATGTATTAGACGGGAAAGTGTAACGTGGCAGTGGGGGATGGTCAATAGAAACTCACTTTCAGTGAACCCAGCTGTTGGATTTAGCAGACAAAGGCAGAAGGGAGGGGGCAGAAAAGATGTTTAAAGAAATAATGGTTGAAAACTTTCAAAATGTGGTAGAAAACATTAACAGATCCAAGATCCAAGGATAAACACAAAGAAAATCACTTTTAGACACACCATAACAACACTGACAGCCAATTAGAAAGAGAAAGTATGAAAGCAGTAACAAAAAAATGGCATAAACAAGGAAATGGCTATGAGTAATGGCTGACTTACCATTAAGAAACTGTGGAAGCAGAAAACACTGGAATAATATATGTGAAGTGCTGAAGGCGACAAAAATGCTCACTAGAAAACTATGTTCAGTGAAACTATACTTCAAAAATGAGGGCAAAATAAAGGCATTTTCACATAAAGAAAAACAGAGAAGTTGTCAGCAGAGCTGTTCTTCAAAAATAGTGAAGGAAATTCTTTAAGCCGAAAAGAAACAATGCCACATAGTAATTCAGATATAGGAAGAAATTAAGAGCAACAGGAATTATAAATATGATATAATATATCTACATATTTTTCTTTTCTTTTATTAATACCTTAAAAGACTTGACTGCTTTAAAGCAGAACTTAGCCCTCTATTTGATGAATTTATTAAGTATGCAGATTTACAATATGACAATGGCACTAAAGTCTAGCATTGTATATGGAAAGAAATACACTGTTGCAAAGTTCCAATGTTTTCTCTGAAATTAACTCTAAATAAATTGAGATAAATTAAAGATGCATATTGTAATCTCTAGAGCAATCCATAAAATAATTTAAACAGAGCTAATAGCCAATAGAAAAATTAAAATGGTATTGTAAGAAAGTATTTCTTTAACACACCAGAAGGCAGAAAAGGATGAGCAGGAAGTTTTTTAAAAAGATAGTACAAATAAAACCTATTGATATATTTCAAAGCATCACCATGTCAAAGAAGAACTATCCTGTTATAATGTGATGCAGAATAACTTAGTTAAGAGAGCTTATTCTGAAGGCAGCCTCAGCCTACAAACTCCTGCCTTGTTTTGTTAGACTTGCACTATAAAAATACAGTTGTTTGAAATATTGGTGGCAATCTATATGCAATTAATGTTTTGATTATTGACTATCTAATACTTTAGAGGGTGAACTATTATCTTCATGCTGTATAATGATGTATTGAATTTTCACATAAAATAAGCTTCCCATTTCTTCATTTTCTAGGAGGAGGATATGGCGTCTGCCCAAGGAAGAGAGGAAGCATCAGATAGGCGTTTACAGCAGTTACAATCTAGTATAAAACAATTAGAAACAAGGTAAATTGTTAAATACATCTAGCTTTGTCTATATGCTTCAAAATATATTCCATATTAGAATTTCAGTATTTATTTTATAAGTAATAAACTATAATCATTGGTTTAAAATGTGATTTATTAGACATTGTTTATTTTTTAATCATATTCAAAATATTGCTATATTTTGAACATATATTTAAAGATCATTTCTGTCTTTACCTTTTCCCCAAAGCAGTCATAGCATTTAGTCTATCCCAAAATTAAAAATGTTCTTTGCATCTTGAAGCAGAAAATAATAAAATAATAATAATAATAATAATGATGATGATGATGAGGTTAGGTAAAAATTATATAGAATACCCATTTCTTACTAAGTAGATACACAAGAGAAAAATACCTGAGAAATTGTTATAGATGAGCGATAATTTTCAGTTATTTCAGGCCTGTACTCTTATTGAATATATTCTGTAGCTTTGTCTTTAATCACTATCTTAATGCAAACATTCACTCTAGAATCTTTTGTTGTCATTTCTTAGTCCTTATTGGATGTTCCCTTGAGAAACTTGAAAATTGTCATTTATAATCTATTAAAGATACAGGGACCAAAGCCTGTAAATTCACATTATGGTTTAAAGCTGAAAAATCGACTCTATGATTGAAATCTGTTACCTTCAAAAATACTCTGCTGCTCTGAGCCCATCAAAAATCGAGACCTCAGTTCCAGTCACAGATCCATGGCTAATTTAGTGTTTGTTCAGAAAAAAAAAAAAAAAGTATATTTGACCATCTGTCTTCTATTCTCCAAAATGTTGATGAAAGTAATGTCTTTGTGCACAGGAGGTTGAGAACTAATTGATTTTAACTGCTACCTTGAGATTCTGAGGTTGTAATTTTTAAGTGCTAGAGTTTTTTTAGGTTTTGTTTTTCATTTTTCTAAACTTTTCAGCAGTGGATTGTTTTACTGTTTTCCTGAACTTCCTTGTGTTAACGTTAGGAAAAAAGTCTGTGGCTGTAGATTTGCATTTCTGTTATTTTAGTAGCGTTCTGTGCTATGAAAATAAATGCTAGAGAGACTCAAAACAGTGAAATGTGAATGAGTGTCACGTCCTTTAGTACTGAGTCATAATGAATCAAGTTGTTTATTCATTCAGCAGTGTTTTAAGTTGTCTTTTTAATGTTGAGGATTTGGGGAATTTTGTTATTGTTTCATTTTGTTTTGTTTTTAGTATAAAACCTAGCTGATCCCTAAGAGGAGGTTGCTCCGTATATAAGAAAATCTAAGGATATATTTTTAAAAATATATTTTTTTCCTTAATTTTTTTTCTTTCTTTCTTTTTTTAATTGAAGAAATGTTTAATTGTTTTTTTTTTTCCCCCTCCGTCTACCTCCCCTCTCCTCCCAAACTTCTGGTAAGGATATTTCTTTAAAGTCTAGTATTCAGCTAGCCTCCTCTGAAGAAGAAATTTTTACATTGGCTGTCAGTTAGAGCTATTAAATTAATATTAAGTTCCTGTTGTGATTAAAAAATGGTTATATATTTTAAAGTTTTTAAAAAAATCTCTTGTGTTTTTATATAAGAGAATGCAGTTATTTGTGTACTTCATATGTGGCTCTAGCAATGTTCAGCCGATATGTTTTAGGTGTATCCTATTTCATGGAACTGCCAGATTGAAAAGCTATATTTGTAAGGATTATCTTCGTTCCATAAAATCAAAGACATTTTGACGTTAAATACTTTTTATTGTAGTTATTAAAATTATTATTATTTATTTTTAAAAACATTTGTATTCTTTCAAATGCCAAAAGTATCTATGAAACATAAGTCATTTCATTCCATCTTCCAAAGATAGATCCCTTTGCCCCTTTTTTAGATGATTTTTGGATCCTGGGAATTATCTCCAGAGAATGACAGTTCTCTCTGGGAAAGACTTCTCTGGTTTGTATATGCCTGGTAAATAAGGCAGGAGTTAAATAAGTAGAATGGCTTTGGCTTTAAACTCCCTCTTCATAAGGTATTCATGAGTCCACCTCTAGCTACCCAAGAGGACATGGTGAAGTGGAAGGGTGAACTGATTTCAGTAAAGTGACAGGTGTCCTATGCCTCTGTGGGAGAGAGAGAGTGCTTCATTTTCTACCCAAAATGCTCAACCAAAGTATGATGTAATTGTATAATGTCCTGTATGCGAATCATTGTGTAAAAATATGAGATGAATGAATCCATTAAAAGGCAGAGACTTGCAGATTTTGATTAAAAAGCAAGACCCAGTAATCTCTTATTTTAGAAAACACTTAAAACAAAGAATAAATGAACTAGAACAAAGATCTCAAGAAAGGAAAGATGAAGAGGATTCATTTTAAATTTAAAATAAAGATTTTAGTGGAGAATATTAGCAACTTATAAACAAAAAGAAAGTGGGAGTAATAGTATTAGTATCACACAAGGTAGGGTGTAAAGGTAAAAGCAGTACATAGAATAAAGAGACCTGATATCATGAAAATGGCACTATTTTGAAAAAGATATAACATTAGTAAACCTAAACACAGCAAATAATAAGACAGTTCAATATGTATTGCAAAAGCTAGGAAATGCAAGAGTGATTTGATGAAAATACAGATATGGTCATTATTTTTGACCTTCTGCATCTCACCTCTCTTCCATCTTTGGGGAATTCCCCAGTTTAGCTCCTCATGGAAGACCAACTAATAATTTTGGTGAAATTTTGGGCATGTCCCTTACTACAAAGCTTCATACCTGGCTTTCCAACTCTCCCAGTGAGTCTGTGAACTTACCAGTATCTTTTTAATAAACCCTTATTCCACTGAAATTAGAGTTGGCTTCTGCTGCCGGCAACTAAGAACCCTGACTAAAATACCAGTAGACCTTAATTCACTTCATTCAGAATTAAGCAGATCTACTAAACAACAGCAAAAAAGAAAAAAGAAAAGAAAAGACAGACAGACAGACAGACAGACAGACAGACAGAGAGGAAGAGAGGAAGAGAGGAGGAAGGAAGGAAGGCAGGAAGGAAAGTTTAAAAAAGAGAGAAACGAAATGAAAGGGAGAATGAGTTCTCGCAATCCCCAAGGCAGGGAAAGCGAGCTGCGCTGTATCCCGAAGCCGCCTCCTGGCCGTGCTGTGCTCCGGTGTGGAGCAGGAGTGGGAAGGGCATAGAGGAGCCTTCTCCTGCCACCATTTAAGGGAAAAATTACCTAAAAATAACAAAGAAAAGTATGAATTATAGGTAAGAGTTGTCTCACCAGATCACACCAGAACATGTTACTAAAGGTGTACGGGAAAACAAATGAAAGGCACAACAATCTTCTGCGGAAATCCAGGGGATTGCATTAGCATTCTATGGATAAGGGAGATCATCTTTATAAAACCTGAAATCCCAGAAGTTGGCGAACATAGAGACACTAGGCAACAACAATCAGAAGTAGACTTGGGAAAATATTTGTAGCATATAGGACAGACCGAGGGTTAACATCTTAATATTCAAGAGTTCTTGTAAAGGAATAAGCAAAGTAAATAACCCATAAGAAAGAAATAGGCAGAGAATATGAAGAAGAAATTTAAAGATGATAATTCACATAGCTAACAAACTTTAAAAAATATACTTAAACTCTCCAGTAGTCAGGGAAATACAAATTAACAGTGAAAAGAAGTTACATCCATCTGAGTAGGAAAAGAAAGAGCTTTTGGATATATTGCTTGAGGGGATTTCTACATTATTGAATGAGAAAAGGCTGTATACTGTGATCTTAATTTTTATTATACAATATTATGTTTAAAAACCTATGGATATATATATATATAATATGTGTATTTTTGTGTGTGTATGTATATGATTTTATGAACATGGAGAAAAATATTCAAAGATATACATTAGTAAATTAACATGGATTACCTGGATATAGAATCGGAAAGGGGAACTAAACAGAAAAGGAAAGGAAAAAAGAATACCATATAAATAGAAAGAACAACTCGTTCTTTAAGGATTTGCTTTATAACATTATCATGTAGCTATGTAATACAGTGTGATACTATAGAAGGTGTAGCATAATTACAGTCAAAATAGCGAGGCACAGTCACTGCCCACTGCTCGTTAGCCATATGACCTTAATCAAATGCTTACGCTCTGTTAAAATGCTCTGGTTGTTGTTTAAAAAGGAAGTAACAAAATCTACAGAACTTTTATGCAGATCAAATGAGTAAGTACATGTAAAAGTAACTGGAATAATGTTTGTCCTGTAATAATAGATGCTCAGTAACTCTATCTCCCTCCTTCCCTTTAAAAATATTTAACTTTTACAATGTGATTATTAACTTTTAGATTATGTGTAGCAATCCAAGAAGCCACTCAATTAAGAACAGAAAAAACACATTTGGAAAAACAGACTCGAGAGTTACAGGCAAAATGCAATGAATTAGAAAATGAGAAATATGAAGCTATCGTAAGAGCCAGAAATAGCATGCAACTCTTAGAAGAAGCTAACCTGCAAAAAAGTCAGGTAAGAAAACTAGTTAACGTGTTTATAAAAAATAAAATCCCGAACATTCCTCGATGTGACCTAATAGGAAGGGAATCTATAACTACAGAGTAATCCACATGAAAATGAAATTGCTGTGCTCACCATTAATAGACATATTATATTCTTGATGATAGGACTTAATATCATAAAATATAATAAAATGTCAGTCCTCTCCCAAAACATATCGACATGTCAGACTTTTCTTATGTCTGCAATCCTTGCATAAGTAATCTTCATCCCCTCTAGTCTCATACTCTGAAATACTGTTATAGCTCTTTACTGCGGTATACGCTCTATTTTATTCAGTTAAATCAGACGGATCTTATTCATTTTTATTTCCCCTTTATCTCCTACACGATCACTCTAATAGAGCAGCAGCTTAATTGACAGGAATTAAATTGAACTATAAAGATTTATTAACTGGAGCCTTCATGTCACTGTTCCTTTTTTCTTGACCCTCTAACCATTGATTCCTCTGCTACCACACAGCATATTTTTATCTGTTACCACTTCCATATGGATGGTATATAAGTTTATAGAAGTCACAAAGTAGATAGATTTGTTTTTAATGTCGCTGCCTACCTTATGTAGCGATCATTTCATCATTGATTCATTTAACCGACATTAATTGAATATGTAGTGTATGCATAATACTCTGCTGGGAAATATAGAGAGTACAAAGGAAATGCTTGTTTTATTTATATTTCCATTTTAACATAGTAGAGGGTTTTCCAAGAGAGCTATTAAAAAACAAAACAAGCTCTTAACACCTAAGTTAGCTGGAAGAATTAAGAGCAAGACAAAGTTTTTCAGTCTCCTCCGAAGCCCAGTCATGTAAGTAATTTTACCATCCGGTCGCTAAAGATGAGCACTTTGTGTAGAGCAAATGGACAGAGAAGGTAGTAGTGACACTCAGTTGCCTAACCCTCAAATCTTCCCACCCAAGTCAGTAGACCCTTACAGAGGCTGTTTATGTCTATAATCTTAAGCTCCCTCTTGACTCATTGCTTAATTGCTAGAGGGCTCCCACCTTCAGGTGCTTGTTCTAAGAAGTTTCTTTCAACTGATCATGCAAACAGACCTGAAGCATAGCCTAGCACAGCTCTCTTACAGTGCTTCCCCCTTTCCTCGCTGTCCATCGTCTCATAAGGCTGTTACATCAAAAAAGCTGTTACTCTAAGAGCGTGCCTATTGAAGCAGGAGGAAATTTATTAAACAATTTTTAAAAAGAGATGGGAATGTGTATGGTTCTTTGGATGATAGCAGGATCAGAACACAAGGCCACTTGTATGTGATGAGAGACAGAGACGGAATGAGAGGGACTGACTGATTGACTGACTGATGCAGTCCTAAATTGGAGGCGTTCCAGACTTGGAAAGGTATTTGGGCTAGAGATGTAAATTTGGGAATTTTCAGCATATAATTGATATTTAAAAGTGAGATTGGATTAGAACACCAAGGGATGGCTGTCGATGGAGGAAAGGACCACAACTGAATTCAGTCCCATTTTGAAGAGGTTGAGAAGAGGAAAAAAATAGCAGTGCAGACTGAAAATGAATGATAAGTGAGTTAGGAAGTAAATCAATAGCTAAAAGCCAGGTAAGAAAGTAAAACAAGGTGGGGGAGGGGGCGGGTAATCAATTATTTCAAGCATTGCTGATGGATTAAATCAGATAATTACTCAGAATCGACTCCCGTCATCGGTATGGAGCTTGCGGTTGGTAAAAGCCTGATTGCAGTGCGTGTGAGGGAGAGAGAACCGGAGATGAGCACGGGCAGACGCGGAGGAGTCCTGCTCCACACGGTAGCAAAGGAATGGGCGTGACCGACAGCAGAACGAGGATTATAAGAATAATTTTTAGGTGGGGGACGAAAACGAGAGGATGGATAGAAGTAGGTGGCATCGACGGTGTTTGAGGTGTGAGGTGACAGAGACTTAATTTGAATAATACCAGATAACGGCAAGACTTAATTTGAATAATACCAGATAACGGCAATAACCAAATCCAAGAGATTTTCCCAAGAATATAATACTTGGACTTGATGACTTATTTTGTATAGAACTGAAGGAAAATAAAAATTTAAACATAATTCACAGATTTCCAGCTATAGATATTAGAGGAGTGGTAGAAATGGCTGAAATAAATACCAGAGGAAAATAAATTTTAGTTAGGACAAGTTCAGGTGAGGAGGACAGAGAAAGTAAATATCATTCATGCCACAGGCAAGAGCTCCAGGTCGAGATGTCTACAAAGTTTAGCATAAGGTATTTGCTTTCAAGAAAGTGATTAGCGGATAGGTTTTTACCCATCTTTATTAATAATGAAGTGATCTGTAATACCATCAAATGATTATTTTCTGAAGGTTCTGCTTGAAGAGAAGCAAAAAGAAGAAGATATAGAGAAAATGAAAGAGAAAATTTCTCGGCTTATGCAAGAGGCTATCATAAGAACGAGGAAGGAAGTAAGCGTTTTTAATATATTTAAAATTCAAAATTTTACAACTTAAGACTAAATGCCACCTAAGCTTTTGCCTGATGAACCTAGTTATTAACTAACAGCTAATTACATCAGTTGTGCCAAACTTCAAATACAAATCATCTCAGGATAGTAGCACTCGCTCTTCGAGCTAGAGTGGGCAGCAGCGGAGGGTGGGGAGATGGGGAGGAGAGGAATATAGGATAGGAATGTAGTGAAGATTAACACACCCGAAGCATAAAATTCAAGAGGAGACTTAAAAAGAACCTTAGAATGCTTATGAAACAAGAAAACCTGCTGCCGCTTGCAGTATCTGAGAGCAGCGGTCCCCAACCTTTGGGCACCAGGGACCGGTGCTCCTGTGAGCATCTAATGCCTGATGACCTGAGGTGGAGCTGAGGTGGTGATGTTAGCTCTGGGGAGCGGCTGCAAATAGAGATGACGTTTCCCTCTCTCACCTGCTGCTCCCCTCCTGCTGTGCGGCCCAGTTCCTAACAGGTCCTGGGCCGGTAGCAGCCCGCGGCCCAGGGGTTGGGGACCTCTGTCTTAGAGCATCTGAGGACTGGTTAAATCTGGTTCAACCTCTTATTTTATTGGTAAAGAAACTGAAACCCTCAAGAGGTTATTAGTATAAATATATGCTACTTAACGCTAGAACTTAGACTCATTCCTTCTCCTACGATACTAAGTGCAGCATTTTTTCAGTCCCGTCATGCTAATATTTATACAATTTGTGAATTGTGCGGTTGTTTGCAGTTCTATTATCAAGATTAAACCTAATATTTTTGTGTTAAAGTAATGAGCTTTTCTTGGTTTGAATTGTGAGGCTTATGAAATTGAAAACTGTCCTGGAATGTAGGTTTGCTCTCATATGAAGAGGCAAGGTAGACATATATATATTTGCCTTGCCTCTGGTAGAGATGTGAATCAGTTCGTAAGTGGTACAGTCAGAGCTGAAAGTGTAAAGTGAGTTCAGGAGAAAAAAAACACAAAAACCCGTTTTGAAAATGAAAAACGTAAAATGCAGAATGATTAAGTAACTGGCTTAGGGTCCCACCTCTGGCAGAGCTGGGATGCAGGTGCAAGTCTGACGATTCTTGAGCCATATCTCAATCACTGAGACATTCTTTTACATTAATTTCTATTTTTTTATTTTTAGATATTTTCAAGCGCATTAAGAAGGTTGAAAGAAATGTACAATGAACACTTATTTACCCCTCACCCAGATAACTCTTAAAGCCTGGCAACGTTCGTTCCCTTTTGCCTGACATTCGGTCAGACTGTAAGCATCATAACACTTCACTACTAGCTCGGCGTCTGTTTCCTCAGGAAAAGGCCATTTTACTACTCAGCTACACCACTATTACCATACCTGTAAGCAATCAACATTACTTCAATACAGTCCATACTCACGTTTCCCTAACATGTTCTCTATAGCTGCTTGCGTTTTTAAATCCAGGATTCAATTCACGTTTATGCATTATTGCATTTGGCTACTATGTCTCTTAGTCTTCATCGGTTTAACCCAAACACCTGCCTTACTCTGTATGGTACAAAGATCCTTTGTAGAATCCAAGCCAGTTGTCTTTCAGAATATTCCACATCTGGATTCATGTCACTGCTTCTTCTTAATTAGATTCCGGTCATTTCTGGCAGAGTGATATGCATACCTCCCACTTCATCACATCAAGAAGATGTAATGTCAGGTTTTGCATCAACAATGCTAAACTTGACCATGTGGTTAAAGTGGTAAGGCCAGATTTCTCCCTTGTGTACTTATAAATAATTGGGGGAAATACTTGAAGATCATGCAGGCATCCTTTTCCACCAGAATCTTTCATCCAGTGGTTTTAGCATCTGTGTTGATAATCCTTGCCTGAAATAAATATTATAGTGGTGATTAAAAATGATAATATTCTAATCCCGTTATTCTTTCTGTATATTTATTAGCTGTGATTTTTCAGTAGTGCCCTGCCCCCCTTTTTAATATCACTGTGGATTCATGAATCTTTTTAATTTTTTTATGTTATAATTCATTACCATCAGTCATTTTTATTCTCCATTTGTCTCTCTAGCTTTCTTGCATAAATGATGTTCCTCTCATCTCAGCCACAGTTTCAAAGAAGCCTTGGTTATAACTTTTTTAGTTTGCCATTTTTTTTTTGTCAGAGATAAGAATTAGCAAAAGCAGAAAGTCATGGTTTAATTTTTACAGTAGTATTTGCATTAAAATGCTTACCTACGTATTCATAAAGACTATAAGATAATTAACAAATTATCGAAACTAATACTTTCTTTTAAAGTGAGCTTCTAATCTTGTATGTCAGCTATACTTTAATAAAAAATAAATTTAATAAATAAATAAAGTTAGCTGCTGTAGGATAGTTAGATACACTATGTATTCCCCCACTGCATAAAATAAAGGTGTTAACTTTTTTCTTAGCTATACTTTTTTATGGACAGTATTGTTTCTCAGCTAGGTAGACTGAAGCGAACTGGTTTTTTAAAGCCTCATCACTTAAAAAAAATAAAATCTAACATGCTTGCTTTTCCCCTAAGCAATTAAGTGGCAGAGTTTTAATTCCTACAGAGTTAGTGTATAATGTTTCTTGCTGCAAAAGCATTTCTCAGGAATCTATTATTTGTCACTGTCTGACTGAAATTAGGTGATTTCCCAAGGTAAAATTTCTAATCTGAGGCAGAGTCTAAGCTAAAGCCTGGGGCTTTTTGTTCCTAGTCTTGTGTATCCTTTCTGCAGAGATCCCTGTCCTGTTCTAGGGGTTAAAAACACTAACTGTGGCTGAAGTTTAAAATATTCTTGACAACATAGCTTTAAAATATGTTAATAAATTTTGTTGCTTTTAATGCTAAACCTATTTTTATCAAAGTACTCATAGTATGAGTACCCCTCATTGATTTTCTAATCATAAAATAAATTCACATTAATTTTATGGTTGATGGAGGTTGTCTTTTGCATGAATCCTTAAATGATCTCAGTGTAATTTTTCAAAAGTGTTGTGATCTCTGTATTCAGTCCAAACCTTTCTACAAACGTGAGTGTTCAACTGCCTGCTAAGGTGTAGTTATCTCTCTATGTAAACAGTCCTGCCTGGGGGTCTGAAACACAACATATCTGAAACTGAGCTCCCTCTCTCACACCCCGATCCCCGCTTCCTCCTGGGCTCCTTTTCATGCCTCGTATACAGATTTCTCTGCTCTTCCAACTGTTCACTCAAGAAGTACTTGTTGAGCACTTCCTATGTGCCAGGCACTTTGCTGGGGCCCTGCCCTCTCCCAGTCCCACACTCTTGCCAAGTTGATATTTTAAGTAAATTTTTATATTATTATCACTAAAAAGTAATACATGCTCATTATAAAAACAAGTAGACATATATAAAGTATGTAGAAGAAAAGTAAAATCATCTATAATTCCACATCCTTTGAACTTTCATTTGATCTCAGATTATCAATGATATGATATAATTATCGGTAACACAAAAAATTGTGGAGATATATACACCAACCTGTGAATAGCTCTAAGCCTAGAAAGCAGAATAATGAGGAACCTTTCACTTTCGACATAATATAATTCAGCCATGTTTTAAATTTCAAAGAGTAGGTATTATTTTTTGTAAACAAACTATATATTATATATATATACATATATACACATATATTGCATCTTATAGAGCATGTGACATAACCTTATATCCATTTATATGTTTTAAACACATTTTTAAAAGTTTTTGTTTGAAAGTTTTCAGTTGTGTTGGTGATAATTGCCCCATTTATTACAGTTTGACATGTCCTCTAAATAATTCAGAATTGTTGAATTGGGGATAACTTATGTCTAATGACTTCACAAGCATCTATTTTTATTAACTAAAGTAAATATAATGACCAAATGATCACATATTTCTGGGTGTAAAATTAAACAAAAATATGACAATAGCATATTTCTTTAAAGTACGAAAATAGCAATTTTTCATATAGCTCTCAAACAAATAAAATTCAATTTGTGAAAAAAGCATGGTTTTCTTAACTTTTGATTTTAAATCATGGCTTAAAGTTGGTCATCAAAATTTTATTTGTCCAGGTAAGCAATAAAATCATATTCGTCCAGGTAAGCAATATTAACACCATAATGGGCCTTTTGTATTCCTATTTTCTGTTAATTCACCTTGCTATTTGGTTTATAAATATCCTTACTGTCCATAAAGTTATAGAAGAAAATGTTTACATAAAGAAAGTGAGGTTGGGGGAGATAGGGATTTTAGTCCCTTTGCAGATTTCTGAGCCCCCGTCACAGCAAACCAACTCTCACATGTGTACATTTGCTCACAGAACAGCATGTGTGTTGTGTTGTATCAGATACTGACCCCCAAAAGTTCTCTGGCTTCTGGAGCAAAGATGTTCACTGGTGATATACCATCAGTGTCAGTAGCCCTACACAGTCTTTTTTTATAGTTCGAATAGTTTGATTCACTGACTTTGTCAGCGTTACTGTAAAAATATTTCAAAATATATATACTACTGTGGTCATAAACACATTAGTTGCATCCTTTCTAGATACTAAAAACTTAAAAAATTATGTGAGAGGCAGACAGATACGGCTGGGCTTATAAGAAACAAAATTTGTATATTCTAGGAACCTTCACGGCTTAATTTCTCTGTGCCTTAATCTTCCTCAGCTGTAATGGGAATAATAACTAGTTCATCAAGTTGTTGAGAAACTTAATGTGATCATAACACATAAAGCACTCTGAATAGTTCCTAACGCATTAAACCTCAATAAATGCTCACTGACCCATAAATAAGATGGATTGATCCTGAATATAAATATCCATAGGAAAAGTCTATATCAATTGTAATCTAAAATAGAGCTAAAATGAACCCACATATGTTTGACATTCCTTCAAAAAGATAGCATATTAATTAACCAAATAAAGTTTTAAATGTTCTAAAGAAGGTTTATATCATGTTTTAGAAATAATCTCTTATAAGATCCTTGAAAATTTCCAAAAACCTTTGGGTCATAAATGTTTTGCTGCTGATACATTATCAGTATCAATATTCCTCATGGTCTTTTTAAAAAGTATGAATAGATATTAGGAAAAAAAATATTGCCAGAGGAGCCACCCTGGTGAGATGTGACTAATTCTTCAAAATATTCTATACACATAAATTGCATTATTTCTGAAGATATTTAATGTTAAATAAGGGTTTTCTTTACCAAGTAATTTACTTAGCACTGATACCTGATGTGCAGTATAAAAGTATTCTATTTATAAAAGAAAAGTGCCTTTTAAGTTATTAATTACATTTTCAGTGTAATTGAGTTTTTCTCTTGACTTACTCTATGGCAGCAGTTCTCAAAGTGTTGTTCAGGGACGCTGCAAGATTACACCTCCTTTCATAATTTTAGGAAAACACTGTTTGCTTTTGTCATACTCATGCTCCGTGAGTGTGCAGTGTTGTTTTCCAGGAGGTAGTGATATGTAGCAACACAGCAGGTTGAACACAGAAGTAGATATGAGAATCTGTCTTCTGTTGAGCAAGACATTAGGAGATTTGCAAAAAATGGAAAATAATCCTACTCTTCTTAAAATATTTTAATTTTGGAAAATATGCTTATTTTTTATAAAAATATATTATTTGCGTTAACCTGTATTAACTTTAATTATTATTTGTAAAGGGCTTAATACGTAAATATTTTGAAATTTTCTCCATGTTCATTTTTAAGTAATAAACCTCAATAGAAAGAACTCATCATAAACAAAGATCTTTGTTTTTATAATGTAAAGGATCCTGGGCCAAAAAGTTTGACAAACACTGTCCTTTAGAGTGTATTATCTTGTTCTCACTATCATGATAAACTCTGACTCTTTAATACATCATGTGCTTATTTATCTTTTATGCCCTAAAAGTTACAACTTTATTTTTTATCAAAATTATTATCCTAGATGTATATATTGGATATTCATTTTTATCGTAGACCTAAATAATTCATAACTATCTTAATTTAAAGGTTGCAAACACAAGAAAACAATATAATGTACAGATTTCTCGACTATCAGAAGAACTTTCAGCCCTTCAGATGGTATGTATGTTAAGACATATGAATATTATTTCATACGAATATTATTTATTTTAAAGGGCAAGGTACATATTGGGCATTAGTTCATTCAAAAAACATGATAAGAACTATGCTAGATACTAGAAAAACAGTGAAAATGAAGATGATCATGTTATCTATGGTCTTGGGACTTGTGGTGTAGCAGAAAAGATGGATGGTATTTATCACATTTTTCTATAATTACCTGTCTTTGACAAAGAATGCGCATGGTGCTATTGAGCGCCCAGCTACAGGTGCTACCGTACGCTGGGTTCACTTGGGAGACCACGGAGGAAGAAAAAGTATGTATGACAGTGGGAAGGAAGAAGGCAAGCCTCCGGAACGAAACGAGCCCTGGAGGGTGGAAAGGCAAAGAAGGGAAAGGAAAGAGTACTTGTGTGACTAGGGGTGGATTAAATATATAAATTTAACATGAAGATTTGATGAAATGGAATTTAATAGTCTTGCTTACCTAGAATTAAAAGTACAAGAATTTCCAAAAATTGGGAAGATGTCCGATTGATATTTAAGCACATCTGAAAGGAGGATCAGATCTTTTCCACATTCTACAAAGTCTGAGCGTGCATTTGTCATCGTGTACGGGTCCCGAGACCAATAGAACGAGAGACGGTGTTACTTTTTTGTTATTTAATGTCATTTGTTTTCATGATATAGGAACATTAAGTAAAATTGATGGGATGCAGTATAGCCAATTGGTCATGTCTAATTCTTCGTGGCTTTTCAATTCTACTTCCTCTTCTATCGCTTTACTATTTTGCTTTTTCTCTTACATAGACTGATTTAGCTATCAAACGATTAACAGCTTTGAGGAAGAAGGGTCCTACTTCAGTCCAGGATCATTAATGGGTTATAAACTCTGGAAGGGGACAACATTTATTCTTTCTGTTTTCCCAAAGGAACACACACTGTATGTGACCTGCAGGGAATTTTAAAATAACTGTTAGCCGTGTAACAACCAGAGCTATAGAACTCACCTTAGAGCAAAGAATATATAATTCCAGATTATTCCAATAGATGTTTCTTAGGATTTATAATAAAACAATTCTAATTCATAGCTAAGTGGATTTTTCTAAAAATATTAAATATTATCTGATATCAAATTGATTCCATGGGATAAACTGTACTAATTGAAAAGTGTTTAAATATTAAGCATTTAGAAATACTTTCAAAGGAAGACATGTTCAGCTACTTTAAAAAGCAGATTTTCTCAGGAAACTCAGGCTATAGTTTGAGGCAAAATACCTTGATTTCTATGCTTAAGTGCCAGTTTTACCACTTATGCTATAAAGATGAAATCAGGGAGGGAAATTAAGCATAGTTTAGCTAACTCAAATTAAATTATGTTTGCAAGAATGAGAAAAACTTATATTTTAGGTTACTGTGCAGATTTTTTTTTTTTTTGATAGTTTTAAGAAAAGGCTAGAGCCAGTCTATCTCAAGCCTCATGTCTCCCTGTGGAAAACAACACACACAGCCTTTATTCTCTCCTACATAATATACTTTCTCTAAGAATACTCAAGGTTTTAATTTGGCCAAATAGCAGAGGTTGTCGTTAATCTATAGTAAATGAGGAAGAAGATTGATTATAAATGCCCAAATTTATACAAGTAAAATGAAACATTTAGTATGATCTTTTTTTGATCCTGAAGTTTTTAAAAGTCTAATTTTTAATTTCCAAATCTATGGGCATTTAGACATCTTTTTTTATAAATGATATAAATGGTATTTTTTATTTTAAAAAATTACACATGTAATACATGAAACCACCAACTATAAAAAAAATATTTGAACAATATCAAAGTGTAGTGAATAAAAGTGACACCCCCTTTTTCATACTCTTTTCCCTGGCGTACCACTTCTTCCTCTTAGACACCACTACTGACAATTCAGTGTGTATCATTCAAGCATGTGGATGTGGGTGTTGATATAGAGAGAGCCATGGGGTTACAATGTTAGTTCCTTCACTAGAGAGAGAAAGGTCAGATCACATGAAGCCTCTTGGTTCTTCTGTCATTGAGTATTCATTTGACGTCAGCAGTAGCAAAAAAAAAGAAAACATAAATCATTTAAGTGGATGAGTGGCTCAATACCAAGCACATCAGATGCTGTTATACTAGCTCATTTAGGCATCTTTTCATTGTTGCTTTCTAATCTACTTAAATAGAGGCCACAGATCATGGTCTATATGATATTGATTCTTAATATTTGTTGTGACTTTATGGTACACTATGTAATATGATTCTGCAAATACTCTGAGTACTTGAAAAAATACGTACTATCATTTGGTCATATCTTCCTCCAAAGTTAGGAATTTCAGTGGTGGTTAATAGCAAATATCCATGAAAACCTATTAGTTATAATTTTAAATGTTTGTTTTAATACAAACATTTCTAATAGAATTAGTATATTTATCTATAAAGGTTTCAACTTTTCTGTCTCATTTTAACTTTGTTTCAGATTAACTAAATATTCTTTTAGCCACTCTCATTTGGCAATGAAATTGTGAACTGGATGGAGAGAGTTGTATAGCATATTTATAACATACCTTTCTATATGCCACTTACAGATCCAGGAGTGTGACCCAACCTTGTTATTAACATCTACATTAAAAAAACGTATGGGAATCATATTGGTAGATTTAGAAAAAACATTTGACAATAACCAATACCCATTCATGATAAAAACTTTAGCAAACTAGGAACAGAGGGGAACTTGTTCAACTTGATAAAGAGTGTCTTCAAAAAACCTACAGCTGTAAACCTGAAAGCTTCCTCACAAAGATCAGAAGTGAGGCAAGGATGTCCCCTCTCACCACTGCTTTTCAACATCATACTGGAAGTACTTGCTAATGCAGCTTGATCATAAATGAATGAATGAATGAATGAATGAATGAATGAATGAATAGGAGGAAAGAAAAGGTATGCAGATTGGGAAGGAAGAAATTTGCTTGCAGATGAATGGTTGTCTAGGTAGGAAATCCAAAAGAATCAACAAAGAGACCCTAGAACAAAGAAGTTATTAGAGTAAGGTTGCAGGATACGAAGTTAATATGCAAAAGTCAGTTTCTTTCTTATATACCAACAACGAACAAGTGGAATTTGAAATTAAAAATAATGCCATTTATGTTAGCACCCAAAAATTAAGTACTTAGGTATAAACCTAACAAACTATACAAGAACTATATGAGGGGAATCACTCTGATGAAAGATATCAAAGAATAATAAATGAAGAGATAGCCAGTGTTCATAGATAGGAAAACTCAGTATTGTCAGCATGCCAATTCTTCCCAACTTGCTTGTCTAGAAAATGGAATATTATTCAGCAATAAAAACAAATGAGCTATCAAGCCTTGAAAAGCATGGAGGAAACTTTAAAGCACATTACTAAGTGAAAGATGTTAGTCTGAAAAGGCTATGCCCTATATGATTCCAAGTATATGACATTCTGGTAAAGGCAAAACTATGAAGACAGTAATGAGGTCAATGAGGAGAGAAGGATGAAAAGGCGTAGGCAAAGCATAGAGGATTTTTAGGACAGTGAAACTACACTGTATGGTACTATAATGGTGGAAAAATGTCATTATAAATTTATACAAACCCATAGCATGTACAGCACCAAGAGTGAATTCTAATGTAAACTGTGGACTTTGGGTGATACTGTTGTATCAGTGCAGATTCATCACTTGTAACAAAATGCACCACTACAGCCGGGGATGTTGGTGATGGGTGAGGCTATGCATGTGTAGGGGCAGGAATTACATGGGAAATCTCTGTAACTTCCACTCAATTTTGCTGAGAATCTAAAACTTCTCTAAGAAATAGTGTCTTAAAAAAATCACTCAGGATGAGTTCTAAACATAGGAGAAATCCCAAATTTCACACCATAAAACTATCTCTTACATAGATTAGCAATATGTGTAACATTAAAGTTTAGTTTTTTATACACTAATAGTTCTGTCTTAATAAAAGATAAGTTTAGATTAATTACAAAGTAGTTTCATCCAAAGCATAATTTACAATTTGTAGAAAATATCACATCCATTCTTAAAAGTAAGTCAATAAAAATAAATAACTGTGAAGAACCAGTCATTGTAATGATCAGTTGTTTTTAGTTTTAGTTTTGTTTGCATTGGCTGTTTATAAGTTTTGCCAAAAAAAATAATAATAATAACTTTTAGAATTTATATTCCTACGCTAGTTTCAGGACAAAGATTATCCTCAAGATGCTGGGCCTCTGTCTAGTTCTGTGTTTCCTTTTAAAATATGTCATAAGAGTATATTAAAAGAAAAAATATATAGTGTGAGAAAGGGGTCTCATTTATTTATTTTTCTCTCTGGAATCCCTCCACTTCTATTACCTACCTAATTTGTTTACTTAGAACTCCTTGTCATTCTGTACTGGAGGTGATTTCTGAAATCCTAGGATAGGTAACTCTTTGAAGAGTGAGGGGTTTTTTGTTTGCTTTTGATTTTTTTTTAATCAATGCGGTCTTGCTGTACAGATAAATGTATGTAAATGTGGTATTCCTGTTATGAACAAATCATTCTACTCTATTTTTACTCGTTTTCTTAAGGATTTACAAATATAGTTATTTACAATATGACTTGAATTTATAGGAGTGTGCTGAAAAACAAGGCCAAATTGAACGAGCCATTAGGGAGAAAAAAGCAGTGGAAGAAGAACTAGAAAAGGTAAAAAGAAAAAGGAAAAAAATAACTGCCTAAAACCCAACTGCAAATATTCAAAATTCTGTCTGCTTCCATCACACTGTCTACTAGCAACCCCTATATTATAAGTATTCTCCTGGTGAGTGTTTTTATTTGCTTGGACTGTATTCAGAATCTGCTTTTAAATACTGGCATTGCCTGCATAAATTTCTTCCCAAGAGTGGCCACTTTATTTGAACTTTTTATTCAAAGGTACAAATTTTATGAAATAGCTATATTCCTTGCTTAAACCTCATTCCAATAATATTTTGTCTGTCTTCTCTTTTTAAATTTTATGCCAACTCTGAATTTAGGTCATCTATGAATATAACAAGTATATTTAGCTAAAAAATTATAATACTACAGTGATGTACAGATTTTTATTTCATAGGGAAAATATTTACCCCAATGATATTTGAGAACAAAATATTGTGAGACGTCTATAGTTTAAAGTTTTTTCTTACTTAGATAACTTTTTTTTTGGTGGTAAATATTCTACTCTCTGAGAGTGCCTTGTGGACAAGGGGGAGACTAGATTTGATTCAGCACATACTTTTAGGTACTGCATTGGGAACTGTCGTAGAAAGGTTAAATAATTTGCTCAGTGTTAAAAAATAGTAAATGATAGAGTCAAAGTTTGATTTTTTTCAAAAGAGATCTATGAAGCATAAAAAGCATGTGATATATCTATGCTCTTGATATAAAAAGATCATAATAACATCAGATAGTAATTTACAAAGCATAGCATTGTATAATCCCATTTGTAGGGGTTATAAAATAGAAGTGTACGTGGTCATGTTCAATGTAGGACCTTCATGGTCACCACTGTCCTTCAAGGTTGGTGCCTTCTCAGTTTCCATCAGATGTGTCCATTTAGATTACTACCTGCTGCGCATCAGGGCTTGGGATGAATTTTTAATGTCACATAGCATAGGTTAAGGAATAGGCTTTACTGAGGAAATTTAAACTTACAAGGCTAAAAGCAACAGGTAAAGAGAAGGCACAGGCAAGTACTGCAGGGTAAGTGTTTTAGTAGCAGAGCGTTGATGTGCTGATAGTCTGTCTTATAGAGCAGGAGTGACAAAGGAGCCTTGTCATTGGGAGAAGACACAGGTTCCTTTGTCCAGGCAGTCTGGGTTTGATAGGTAGCTGTGTGTAGGACTGAAAATGTGAACTGCCTAGCACTTGGAGACCTTGCGGTTCTCAGGAAGTTACAGCCTCTGTGTTGCGGGAGAGGAGTCAGTCTCATGGGAAGCTGAGCTTGGGTACAGCCACTCCTGCTGGGTAGGGGGAACTGCCACTCCAGCCCGATCATTGTCGAGTTAACCCGGACTAGGATTGTGGAGTCACTTTCAGGTAGTTCTGCTCATTGCACCCCAGAATGCATTGCACCCCAGAATGCATCCGTGTTTTCGAATATGAAATGTAGTATTGATGTGAGGGATATTCATCCAAGAATCGAAGCAGTTATCTCTAAGTGGTGATAGAGTACTTGTTCCTTACTTCAGCTATTTTACATGTCTTTTTAAAATACTAAAACTATTTAAATAATTTACATGAGCAAGGATAATTTCAAAAAATACACAATTATTATTTTATAAGTCAATTTTTAACATCACATTTTATAAATGCGAAACAACCAAAATTACTTATTGATGTGTTTTAATATGTTATGGTGGAAACCGATGAACACACGATCGTGGATTTTGATTTCTTCTCAGTGATTTCAATTTTTTAACCTATAATTTCTTAAGACAGTTCTCTTCTGTAAGGTAATATACATATAAGCCTCTTCTGCAGGTTTACCATGAAGGCAGAGTAAATGAAAGTGATTGCAGAAAACTGGAAGAAATGCACCAAAGATGCCTGGTTGCAGAGCGATCCAATGATGATCTTCAGCTAAGACTTAAGACAGCAGAAAATAAAATAAAACAACTTGAAATAAAGTAAGATGTACTTTAGGATTTTTCTATGATGACATTTTCAGAATTAATACAATTTTTGACAGATTCTTTACTTTTTTATAGGCATTATAATTATATCTTATGTTAAAAATAACTTTAGCACAAAATAGATTTTTTTCAAGATCATTTATTTCTGAAGACTAATTTCTATAGGAAGATAATATTTAATAGTGCTATACCATTTTATTTTAAATTTCTCCTTTCTGGCAGTTAAATAGGATGCCTATACGTGGTGTCATTTACCTTGTTTCTCTGTCCCATGCAGTTCCTAAAAACTGGTAATTAAATCAAGAGGCTTGATAAGATCCAGTTTCTTTTTTTCTTTTTCTTTTTGGTAAGAATTATTCATAGGTGGTGATATTTTGGACTTCTCTTTAGAGACACATAATGTGTGTTTGTTTCTGATCTTAGCATCTTTCTGATTTTAGCATCCTTTGATGATCATTGCTAGATTCATCATTTTATTAGACACTTTGTTAGCCGAAGTTGAGATGGAAAAGAAAAATCTACAGATATTATGGGAAATGAGAGCCTTATATATTTCCTGTGACACCTGTTGACCAGGGGATATTGACAGTATTTGATTTTCTGAGATTGAAAAGATAAAAATTTAAAATAAGAAGAATAAAAGTTAGCAGTGTAGTGAAGCAATATACATGTTTGGAGGTTGTATCACCCAATAAGCCATTGTAGAGAAAGTTTAAGAAATATAACCTATTTAAACTATTAAGTAAGAAGTTTATAGAATTAGAAGTTTATAAAAACTATTTCTAAGACATATATGAAGTAGGTCTTATAATCTGGGAATATGGTCAGCTAATGTCTTTTCGTTAGTTAATGAAGTAGTGGAGTTTTAATTATTTCCTACTTCGCCTCTCTTACCATCGGCTTTAGTTCGTCCTCTTGAAGACCTCTTGACATAATGATTCTCAATGTTAGTAAAAATTTGAAAGAGATTTCACATAGATTTCCTAGGTGAATGATAACACTTCAGTTTATCTCTTCTTAGTTAAGATTGCTAAATAGAATGTATTTGCCTGGCATAACATAACATTGTGACATCACATATTTTAAGTCTACAGTGGAGAGAAATGGCTCAGAACGAAGAAAACAAAAGTCTATACTGTAAAATATACAGACTTCTCGACTTCTACTACTTATCACTAAATTTAAGTTTCTTTTGTTTTTTTTTTTAATCAGTTCCTCAGAAGAGATATCACGTTGTCAAGAGATGGTTCAGAAACTTCAGAATGTGTTGGAGTCCGAGAGAGAGAATCTACAGTGGAGAGAAATGGCTCAGAACGAAGAAAACAAAAGTCTATACTGTAAAATATACAGACTTCTCGACTTCTACTACTTATCACTAAATTTAAGTTTCTTTTGTTTTTTTTTTTAATCAGTTCCTCAGAAGAGATATCACGTTGTCAAGAGATGGTTCAGAAACTTCAGAATGTGTTGGAGTCCGAGAGAGAGAACTGTGGATTTGTCAGTGAACAGAGGCTAAAACTTCAG